TGTTCATTCTTCTCATATCTTTCTCTATTTCTCAGCGTAATCTGTTCCTTGGCCTTCCTCTTTTACTTTCACCTTGAGGGTTCCATGTGAGGGCTTGTCTTATACAAAATTATTCTAGTAATCTCCAAATCAGCAAAAATTCCACGAAAAGTTGTTTACATCATGATCTTATTGAAGTTATGTTAACGACTTGTCTTGTGACGCAGTTGGGTGCTTTTCGTAGTGTGTCCCATCCAGTTCCACAGCTTCTTCTTGATTTCCTCCTCCACTGGAATCTGGTTTGTTTTCTCTCACAGTACGTTGTTGCTGGTCGTGTCCGGCCAACACTAACCAGAAGGAATAATTCCCAGAACTTCGACCTATATAATTTACTCCATAGGATTAGCAGAATTAATAAATACAAGACGAAGTGGTCATTATAAATAGTTCATCAGTGTAAAAAACGATAACTGTAGTTTCCATGTAATAAAAGTTGCTTAAAAACGTTTGTTCAACTTTAACATTAACTGTTCGCTGAATACACCAACTCTAAACTGTAGACGTATATACAGTGACTTATGACCCACAGTTAGAACTTTCTGATGCTCTATATTCCTTGTTGAATGCCTAGATATAAAATTCCCAGGATAACTATTTTGTTTCAGATTGTTACGCAGTGCATTTGTTTCTAATTCAACCTTATCTGGAAAGCATAGTCTTACTTCCATACTGAAGTGTCTTAATCAAGTTTCTTTTATATTAAAGAGGAGAAAAACTCGGAAAGTCTACACATTGGTTAGTCCGAGTAGTTTTCTTGTTCAAGTTTCTTCTGATTGACCCATCAACTCACTTCAATAGTAGAATGTATAAAAAGTTTATCCTATCCCCATTTTCTTCTTTACATGTAAATTTAATAGATGGACGAACTGTATTACATTTTTTGAGCGTCTTTACCCGGTAAATATGGTCTTTACAAAGGAAGAATAAGTTGGTACAAACATGAAAACTTGCCAACATGCTGTGTCAGTGGTCCGTTTTCTAGTTAAGCAAGAAAATGTTAGTCAATGTTAGACTTATCAATCAACTCGTTGTGATATCATCTATTTGTCTACATATTGCTCTATCGAATATGAATTTCAAGTTAATGATACATTTGAATAATAATTCCTTAATAATGTCAACAAGAATCGTAGTCGCTATTTCTTGTTCTTTAAAATGTTCCTAAATACACTCCACAGTCTTCTTCTAGAATGGAATGTGTTTACATTCATGAACTTGTCGATGAATAAATAGCCTGCAGTTCATTTTTGTCTTCATCTTTTTTTTTCATTTTCTTATTTTGTTTATTTACGAGGGTTTGTAACTTACCAGCGATATTCAAAACTTTCTATTAACAACAATAAAATTTAAAAAATAATAAACCATTCATGAATTTATCGAATATTTTTTTAAAGATATATTTTTTAAAAAAAAATAATCAAAAATAACTGGTTATAATGAGATAAGAAAAAAAATTAATTACATTTCCTTGTTATCTTTCAACATTCACTCAATCATTAAAAATTTAATCATCAAATAGGTACACAAATTCAAATGTCAAATTTTGTGTGTATCTTTATTCATTTAACGTATAGAGGATTAGGGAAAGACATGCATTCTATGAACAGATAGGATATACAAATATATATATATATATATATATGCACATAAATCAACTAAGTATTGATATACATTTAAAGACAGACTGAAAGCTATTCATATTTGAGAAAATGAGTGATGAGGATATGTGTAAATTATTATTATTATTATTATTATTATTATTATTATTATCAATAAACTGACCAATCAGTTACCAGTATTAGGTGTTTACATTTTATTCTCACCAAATCTACTAGTCAAAATCACTAACTTTGTCCTCCTCACCAACAGGAATCGAGAAATATCTCTAGAAAGTACAGACAACTAAAAATATATATATCATTAATCACTTCTTATAAATAATCATCACTTTCAACTAACAGTTACATTAATTTAATATCTCCAATGTTTGTTATCTAATCCTGGAATGATATTCAATACTGAAAGATTTTGATCATTAAAATAATAATAACCTTCACGAAAATATCAAAGATTTTCTATTTTGTAAATTGTAAGTAACACAACTTTTATACTTTTTTTTAATGACATATTATAGTTAAACTGTTCACATTGTTAATTTAGATATTATCCCGTATGTAAGAATATTTTATTTTAAAAATGTCTAATATACTAAAAATCTATTGTTTACACATAGACTTCAACTATGTAATTTAACGAAGGAAAAAAATAATAATGGTAAGTAGAATCATGGACGCTCATTTCTGATGAGTCCAACACTAGGACAAAAAGGTCGTCCAGTGCTTTCAGGTGATGGTCTAACAATGATCGATTCATAATTTCAGCGAAACTCATTCGTCTCCTTAACTCTATAATGAGAAATTAATATTCTAAATAATAATCAATCAACTATTGAATATTGTACTGAAATTTTAGATGACGCTATTCTTAGAAATAACTATGCTCTGTCAGGTATTGATTTTATCTAGATTGAATGTTGACACATGTCTTTGCCATTAACTCGATTTGTCTGAAGTACAAAAAAGTAGTTGAATAAAATTAAATAAATCATATTTATGTCAAGCTCTCAAGAATCTACATATCAAACTTTTTGATCTACATAATCACTGTATTGTTTTTAGTCTACTTGGTTGCAACTGGACTTATATCCTTTTACTGAATTTCTGTTAACTTACAAATCAATTCATCATTTCCACATGTTTATTTTCGTAAATGCTCAATCCTGATGTTACTCTTTTTGCCAGTAAGAATTGTCGATTGAACCAGTTAAATAATCTTTTAAATATTTCAGTAAAAATCATATTGATCAACCTTTAATTATTTTAAGTTAGAGTACAGTAGAATTATATATACTCTCAATAAACTTGATTTTGTTTAAATTGTGACTTATATTGTAAGAATAGTAAACAGATAGTCCATTCGAAGGCATAATAGTTACCAGGATGAAAATATCAACGTCTGCTAGTTAAGTAGAACTTGGCCAATAAAATTCTACACAGAATAAATTCAATCACTGAAATGATTAATGAATTATATTGAACATTTCTTCTGTCGAGATTTATTGACTTTCATAATGATATTGTGGTGCGCGCTACTTATATGTAGTATATGACGCGAGTGTAAACGTAATGTCTGGCAGCAGAAGATGGGGGAAGATCAAGAAAGGAAGAGTGGGAACACAATGGAATTTGTATGAAACGCATGAATAGTGAAATGTCAGTCAATGGATTGATGATGGATTGAAGATTTGCAAATTAACGGTTACGATATGGTTTTCCTATTTTACTGAGTAACTCTGTAATTTTCGTTAAATACAATTCGGTTGCCCTCACCTGTGTTCTCCTTCACTACAATATCATTTAAATGTTCGATTATCGCTTTCAAATACAACTAAATGTATTTAATATTCCAATTAAATAAGAAATTCTAACGAATAAAAATTTTATTCAATAAGTGATGATGATTGTCATCTATGCTTGGTTGTCGATTGGACAGTGTTTCACCGGTATACATGTTACATAATCAACTAAATTAATCGCTTGGTGAACTATAATTGTAAAAGAGAGATTAAAAAACATACTAAACACTGAGGAATTCGAAGTACATATGTTACTTGGGTGAAAGATGTATTCCATGTTTGTTAACTTATAAAAATTAAACATTGGTTTTTTTCAATACTTTGCCCTTTTAAGGCATTAAACAAATGTGATTAAAATTTTCTAAAGTCTACTTAGTCGAAAACTGCATATCCGGTATTATGATTTACAAAATTCATTTATATCTTCCACTTCGTATTGAACTAGCACACTTCTGATTTCTGGTTGACAAACAAATAAACCGATGAAGCCTTAAATCTCACTAGTTCATGATTTTATTGTGACAAGGAGTATTGAAATCAGTAGTGATGCACATAAAACATTTAAATTTATTGTTAATTACATTGAATCGGAAACAAACCTATACACAGTTGATGTAATCTAACGCAACTTATCATGAATCTTTCGATCAAATTAGCGCTGAGTAATCCTAATAATATTTGATAGAGGGACTAGGAAATGGTTAATAATTTCATCCTGTCGTTCCAATGGTTTGAACTATAACGGTAGTAGCAGATACCTTGCGTTTTCAAATCCTATTTCTAACATGCTGCTACCTATCTACTATTTATCATTTTTATTTGTATAACGGATAAAGAAATAGACTAATTTCATAATGATGAGGAAAATTTCAAATGCTATTGATAAACACCAATGAACCTAGTTTTTGATTATTAAAGACTGTACAGTATCGATTATAGTTCAGATTGTATTTCTAGTGTAAATATGAGTGTTTGTTATTGTTTATAATGGGTGCTAAATATCAATGATATGCTTCCATAATCTCCCGCAGTTTCGAATTAGACAAAAGTAAACTAGTTTTAGTCAAAACAATCTTAAATATTGGTTCAGATTGACTGTAAGATATGTATTTTTTCTATCTAGAACTGAATGATTAAGGTTTAAAGTAAAGTAACAAGACTATAGTTTCAATTCACTTTTAGCTCATATCATGACAGAGTAGTGTTGCTGATACTATCGTTTAAAAAGCTGGATACATTGGTCTTAAAATACCAACTTTCAATTATACACTGAATGAAATGTCAACTTACTGAATAATACTTTCCATGAAATTGATCTAATTGTATAATTTCCTGTAACTCGAATTGTTTGTTTCAGAATTCCTGATTTCTAAAAGTTTGTTAACTGCTCTTTTCGTGTATATTTTTCTATGTTCCTTCACAACAATTGTTTAAATTTGAATTACAACAGCCATGTGGATGAATGTCGAATATATAGCCTGAAACGCAATTATTGAAGACTTTAACAATTCGAATTCAGTTATTATTAGAAAAAAATAACTTTATCATGTCAGAGATGAAATTCTGTTCAAAGTGTAATCAATGTATCAAAGAAAGTCATTACTTGTTAGCTGATTGTCAATACTGGCATGAAGATTGTCTACGATGTGTATGCTGTGATGCGAGATTAGCTGAATTGGATAAAATTTTCTACATTAAAGCTAGGATGTCATTATGTCGAAGAGATTATCTGAGGTAATTGACGAAAAAACGTATATTTTTAAGTATTTTAGTAAATTAAACTGACACTACTTCATAAAGTTGAAACATAGCATGGTTAGAGCAATAATAATTCGATAAGGATTTATCAGAATTTCAAAAAAACTGCTTCCCTTTACAACAGAGATGAAGTCAACTAAGAAGCATGATACTCTTTTGCATTCCGAATATTGACAAGCAATGAGAAACATAAATGTTAAATGGAAATTTTCCTGAAGGATGTTTTTTTTAACCATAACAATACAAATCTATTGTACTAAACACTACAGTTCATATGTTATGGTTACCATATGAATAATGTTAATTCCGATTTCCCACTTTAGATAGAAGCTCAGTTTCCATGTATAGATTACACTGGTTTTCAGTTTTAAACTAACGATTACAATAAACCGTGCGAATACTTCATAAGCTTCTGTTTACTAATAGATTTACTTAGTAGTCTCCCAAAAAGTAAATCTATCATGTTACTACTTAACTTTTCAAAATATTTATGTCATTAGTAATGTTAGTCTCGGTGACAACCATAGACCACGGATTCAGTAAATCTATTTGCTTAAATGTTTCTATTCAAATATTGCTATGATCACAATAGTGAAAAGAAACTGACATTTCCGTTTATTGGGAAGAAAACTAGCCTGTATGGATATCTGAAGCTGAATACAAATCAGTCGATTTGTTCATTTTGAACAGAAAGTCAATTTCAATCACACATTCTTACTACTATCATTAAAACATTTAGTTGAGTTTAAAGTTAATGTTGAATACCCTGAGCTGTAACTGTTTTGTGATATAACATAGGTCATGATCGATGTCACTAATGAGTTATCTCCCTACTTTAGACCTAACTGACTCTCCGTATCATAATATCTCACACCTAGCCACTAGTCTTTGGATTTTTAATAATTTCTCCGTTAATCTACATAATTTTATCAGTATATGAGTACGAAAACAAACCAGTAATTTTTTTCAAATTCTTTTTTTAGATTGTATGGTAAAACAGGTGAATGTTCCATCTGTCAAAAAAGAGTACAATCATATGAATTTGTTATGAAGATAAAAAATAGTGTTTATCATTTATCTTGTTTCTGTTGTCAGCATTGTCAAATGAGGTAAGCAATTATTAATAATAATGATAATAATGTGAAAAGAAGTTAAATCTTTTCAAGAAATTAAACACCAAGATATATTTCTAACTACATCATTTTATAAATCATTTTCCACAATTACTGGAGAAGAGAGAGAGAGAGAGATCAAACAGAAAACATTTATGCTTTTAATTGATTAAAATGAATTAAATGCAAATAGATTTAACTATACTATCCAGTTTAAGATGAATCTTCGAAACGATAGGATTTTTTTTAGATAAGTTTAACTGAAAGCGAATTTCATTTTATGCATATGTATATTTATTGATAATACATTGAGATGGTGGAAAAAATTTGTAGCTCAGGTGTATGATTGTGATGGGGCTTAATTCTCTGAGCTGGATTTTTCAGTAGTGGAGCTTTCATTCTTCTTTTGAACAATATCAGTACAAACTTCAGATAGAAGTGAAGTATTTAAATTCCTCTGCGTATGACCCGTAGCTTGTAAATAAAATATATTCATCTTATTACAGACATAATGACTTTATTAGATCATTTAAATCGACTGATGAAACAAACTTTATGAAAATTTTATTCTTTTTTAAAATTTTAGATTTTGTGTTGGAGATCGTTTTTATTTACATGAAAATATTATCTTATGTGAACATGATTATATGGAATTATTTCCAAACCTTTTTACACAAAATATTAATCCACTTCATCTAGAGAAAAGAAATATGATTGATAATCAAACTACGACGGATTCATATTTTTGTTTAAATGAAATAGATACAAGACAAAAGTGTACTGATGCTGATGATAATGAAAATTACTATGATGAAAATAATCAAATGAATCTGAACTATTCACAACGTATTACATCATATATTCAATTATTTGCAAAATGCAAAACATGCATTACTACAGAACAAGGTTCTAGTAATAATAATAATAATAATAATAATAATAATAATAATAATAATAATAAATTAATGAAGATTGAAGAACATAGATTGCATTCTTCATTGATACCATTCGATGTAAACTTGAATGATTCCATAACAATATCAGATGATCGCTCAAGTGGTTATGGATCACCCAGTTCACCGGGGAATATTTTCCATGAAAAGATTTGAATAGTTTTTAAAAAAAACAGTTTATCCAATTATATTCAGTCTTCCAGTGGACTATAATATGTTTAGTTATGTACAATTATCAACTAATTAACAGATGGTTGGTAAATGCTCGAAGTCTGTTAAGACAGGTCAAAACTTCCACAAAATGAATTGATTAGTTAGACAAAAATTCTAATGGATGATATTCAATGAATTTCTACCTAAACAACTAGAAGATCCAACGACGAACAGATTCAATCATTAAGCATGTTGTACATTGTGTATTATATATCATAATTAAAATGTTCATTTAAAACTATTGGTGATGTTTTCGAAAATCATAAATAATCCAAGTAATAGTATTTTTAAAAATTAAAGTTTACATTTAAGATATCAAAACCTATTATTCCATCATTCAAGAAGACATCATGCAACAAATCCACGTTTGGCTTACACGACCGTATTAGATTGGAGTGATTTCCTATTGATATACGTTGTTAAGGAGAGGACGAAGATAAGAATAAAATAATTAGTGAACGAATGTTTAAGGGTAATCATAACACTTAACTTTACATACTGTCATTCCAGAATCGAATGAAGGAAAAATGAAATTTTCAAGTTATGTCTATAAGTTCACAGTGAGATCTTTTAAATATTCCATTGAACAACTGATATGGATAGACTAACCAGTTGTTAGGGAAGCGATTATGGAAAGTGAATATGAAGTGAGTTTTGGAAGCATTGAGTATACAAAGGTATGGATACACAATAAATAGTTTTTGAAACAGTTAGGTGCAGTGGAGGATCGTCTATAAAGACAATTTAAACTGACAAAATGTACTTCCATTTGTCGACTTTTGCATCCAACGCGATCTAAGTATCATACACAAATTCAGTTGTTTATTTAATTAGTGTATTTCACCTCAATAAATCATCTCGTGTTGCATTTAATTCGTGATTCAGAAACGGCGAAAACTGTTCCAAAAGGACTCTAGAAAACTCAACTATAGTACAAGTTAAGAATAACAGTGAGAAAGCTTGATACTACAAAATTTAGATTAGTTTATTTTATTCTTCCGAAAGAAATATTTATAAACCGCCCCAAAAGCAGACAACATTCCTTCCCCACGCCTTAAATTAAGTGTCTTAGGTATTCCGACTTTAGTGACTAAAACCTTAAATTTATCCCACATGCTTTTTGTTAACTAGAGGCATCGAGAACTACACATACTACTTTCAGTTACCAAGGTGGTTATACAGTATTGCCAACCCCAGAAAAGCTAACATCACTTAAATCATTTCATGGGTTCTAAAAATAGGAGTTGAATATTAGGAGTTGGGTTTTTTCGCAGATCAAACTTGTTACCTTTATTCGACGCCGGCCTTTTAAAGTACTCTCGAATTGGATTTAACAGCTTGAGATTTTTAGCTATAAAACTAATTAAAGACACAACAGTTGTATATTCTTTGTACTATCAATTGAATTATGAAAGGTTTTCGGGGCAGGTTCACAAAGATCGCCATCTTTATTTTTAAAATTCTATGGTGTAAATGCCCTTTCACTAGAGCAATTAAGTCCACACATTTCTGAGTCTATTACTGGTGTTACAAATAATTACGTATTAAGCTTAACACTTCTTCATAAAATATGTTATATTATGCATATGACCTAATAAGTCAGAAAGGTTTTTCTCTGTGCGTTCAACACAAAAACTACATGTTTCTTTCTTTTTTATTCTTCGGATATGAATGCAACAGCAGGAAATATTCTCCACTATGTGATTCTGTTTCAAAACAGGTGTTTCAAAATTATATACTGAACATTTCTAACCATTTTTTGCATGCTCTAGTAAAACCATTTATGCAGCTGTACAACCACTAGATACAGTAAAAAAAATAAAGTCCATAAAATAAATTATTGATAGAGTTCTGTAAGCTATTCAAGGAACATAACGAACATGGATCAGACATCCGTATCATGTCGGGAAAGACGAAACAATACTGAAAATCAGGTATGCTTACTAAACCGTGTGATAAAACTTAAGTATGGTGACGAACTTCAGAGAATCAAATAGGCTCCAGACAGAATCTTGAGGATTTTGTACGAAATTAAAAACCTAGAGGAGAACAGCTTGTTCTTATTCATGATAAGTGGAATATTACCTTTTTTCAATTTTTAGTGTGCCTACCACACTGTTGGCTTACTTGACGTGATTATGGGCACTGTAAAGGGTGGTTGTATATCAAGTGAACTCAACTCTTTAACCTAATCTTAGTGATTAACTACTGATTATGTGATGGGAATATAACTCTAGCTGCTTTCAGCTCATATGATAAGTCCTAACTAGATATGCTCAAGGTGGAGTCCCCTGAACTCTTATGGCAAATCACTTAATCCATTTTACTGAAAAGTATTAGTACAAAGACTCACTGAAGATATTATTCAAAAGAGTAAAACTCAACGAAGCTAACCGATACAACAACAGTTAGATAAATATATAAAAATTCTGTAGAGAAGTCCACGTTGCCTTATCTACTCGATCGAGTTGGTTGGACTCGAAGCTAGTTAGTGTCAACCCAAGGGAACTTATAAAACACCAGTTAAGGCAATGCGGAAACTACTTACACTTGATAAGGCCCATATACGATACATTAGACAGATGCAGTTAATAGTACTTACTGTACTATTCTCATACTTTCTGAGCACAATTACTAGCTCTGAAAATACATGTAGACGTGCAATTGACCATTCTACACAATAATTCATAATATTTAAAAGTTAGTATAATATGATAAATAAACCATTATGAAGCTGTAGTGTTATTGATTCCTAACCACAGGATTCATCAGGCTAGATTTGCAATAACTGAGAAGATCTGAATTAGGTATTTAACACTTGGAGGTGGGAAATTTTGAACGCGAGTACACATCATCCGAACGTCATACTTAGGTTACCTAGGCATGGTCACTGTATGTAACTTGATACTTTTTATATCAAATATATTGTTCTCTTACTGGCCTAAATTTGTTCTTCAAATATTCGTAAAAAGCATACTACTGATTGTCCCAATGGGATGAGTTAGCATAAATAACGATGTAAAATTTACACAGGAACGTATTAGTCATACAGCCACATAACCAAGAGTCTACAATTGTGGAATAGATCTGTTGTTCTAGTTGCATAGATAAGTACACTTAAGATAACTTGGACGGTAATCTCACAACGCCACAACCTGTCGAGGAATTTGAAGTGTTGGATCTACTGACGTAAGTTCAGTTGTGTAGAAATTTTGTCTGGTGCCCACACATGAATCAGTTTCCATCGACATTCCATTGAACTGTAATCATTTGACGATTGTAATTAGACCAGAAAATGATGGGGAGTATATAAGTCAGAAATAAAAATGCTGTCTATCATTGCTATTGTGTCAAACATTCTATAACGCTGAACGCAGAAGACAATCACTGGTCGGTGTGAGAAACTGTGGCTCTAGAATTTTATCGGTAAAACTATAAACTGTACAATCATTGGTTCGTATTGGCACCAAAAATTGACAGATAAATTTACTAATATTATTCTATGTGCTAATTATTGGTTGTTCGTTTATCAGCTGTGGAAACTGTTAAGCAAAACAACTGCTTCTAGTCGTCACCAACTAGGAGTGAAGTATGCCTATGACAGGAGGATTACCAGGAAAATCCCTTCTTAGCGTTACATTATTGTTTCTGTGTACCTGCGCTCTATTTCGCACTATGACTTTTGTTCAGGTCTCTTGTAACCATAGTTCGTGTTCCTCAGTTTCCTTTGTCTAGACCATTTTCCATTTGAATTTGATTAGTCTTATTGTGTTATGTCGTTGTAAATCCACTTTTATCAAGAGAATGATATTGGTTTAATGGGAACATTTATTATTATAACCATTTGTATAAGTGATTGTTTTACTCTTCTTTTTGTTGATTACTATCTGTACACGCAAGCTTTCTGCTTGTTGCTCCAATGTCTCTGTAATTTTGCCCCTCTTTTCTGGCACGACTTCGATATTCTTCCAATACCGCGAAATCGCCAGCAAATATATTCACTTCTATGGATTATTTTATCTTCTCTATGATGGGCATGTAATTGTTTTGGCGGTGGTGATCACCATCAATCTTGACTCAACGTGCCACTAAAATGTTACAGATTTTTTGACATTAAGGTCGTAACAGGTGGTCCTGTGGATAAATGTTGATCTTTGGCCCCTGAAAATGGTTACCAGAATATCTGTAGATGGATATTCCATATCATCTCTTTGGGAATACAATTATTGATTATTGGTTACCGAACACCTACTTATTAACCAGTCCTTTAGCTGAATAGTATGCTCCTTCGTACTTGAGAAACTTATAACTGTGCAGTACATAGTATAAAGTTTGAGATATATTGTGATTTTGATATAATATTTTTCGTTTCATAAATAAGAACGGGACTACATGCAGATCTATATATCAGTTAAGTTCAGCTCTCACACGTTATCGCAAATCTCTTATAGGAAGGAAGAATATGGGATAGACCAGATGAAATAAGTGTATTTGCTAGCGATTTTGAAGTGTCGGAGAAATACCGAAACATGCCAGCGTAATGAGCAACGGTACAAAGCAAACAAAGCTAGATGGGGACCGGAAAGGGAAGCGCGCGACCGAAGTGTAATGCCAGTATATATTTCAAAAAAACAAAGGTCATTGAATAAAACAAAAGTGAAAACAAACAATTAATTGATAGAACGTTCACTGTTATTATTGATCATAATAAGGAATTTTGCAATTTAACCAATCGTGTTTTTCTTCTTAAAAGCGAAATTACTACAACGCTATTCAAAATGAGTCATTCAAAACACTGTATCGAATAAAGAATAATGTAGTCTGATCTGATCAATTAAATTTTAGTTCGTTAGTTTGATATTCAGACCGAATACCGGGATTTCCCTTTAAAAATTTATCCTCATGTTCCTTTTATCTCCTCTCTAAAGAGCATTGTAACTTCA